TACACCCTAGAGAGGGACAGTCTCTGTGTCAATGGTGAGCATCAGGATGTGGCTGGGGTCTCTTCCCCCATGCTGGGTGGACTCTCCTCTCTGGATGGTCTCTCCTTGCCAACCTGGCCCTTGAAGCCTTGGCTATGTGTTCTCTGTGTGCTGACTCTTAGGGACCTCATGGTTGGATTAGCTTCCTCTTCAGAGCCTTTTCTCTGCAGTGAGCATCCTGATAAAAAGTTCTACAGATCATGCTCTATGAATGTCCCTCCCCCTGCACCATGTTGTCCCTCTGTTTGGTACCTACCTCTCCCTTTATCCTAACCCACTGTCCTCCTCCTTCTCACTTCAGGATTCATGCATCGGGGCTCTGCACTCCTCACCAGCAGTGAGTATTCAACTGATGTCCCCACAGCAGGCAGAGCAGGAGCTGACCCCTTCTCATGCCCCATGATGTCTTCTTAAGGACCAAAGGCTGTGGGGGAAGAGTTATTTACCCTCCATGCCTCCCCAGCTTCAGAGCAGTCCCATCTCAGCCCCATGTGCAGCAAGCCCCATAAGGAATCTCTCCTGCTGATGTCATCCCAGAGAATGCCTTGGAGCTTTCACTTATAAGAGCTTCTCCTCAGCTCCTGGGACCTCCACACTGGACCTGGGAACCTGCAGGGATCCTTTCTCCACCTCCATCCCCACAGGTAAGTACCAGTGCCTGGCACTTCTGTGAGAAACAGGCCTGATCCTACAAACACCTCTCACGTGGCTCACTCAGGGATGGAAAGCTCACAGCAAAGCTACGCATAAGGAATCAGGCCACCACCTCAACTGAATCCTGGTTCCACCTGAGCTAGGTCCGGGGACCCATCAGGGAAAGCAGGTCATCTCCGTCCTCAGAGAGCTCATGACGCTGTGGTGATGAAGACAGTGCCTGTGATGCTGCTGCTGCTGCTGGGATGGTTCTCTTCATGATGATGGGGATGGGATGACCATGGTGCTGATAACGACGTGGCCATGAAATGGTGGGGACAGTGATGACAGTGGTGATAGCGAGTGAAAGAGAACACTTGACATGACACATCACTGAATATGCACCCAAAACCTTATTCTGCACTTAGGTAGTATTGTCTAATGGGCTTTCACTCAAAGGCTCCCTATCGTTATAGGGAAGGAGGCATGAAAATTTTTATTTATCACTTATATTAATTTCTCCTGCTTAGTTTTTAAAATAAGTGAATGGCAATCATGTGTATTTTCCCCACATTTAACCTTGCATTTACTTCTCCTGACTCCAATTCTGAGCAAGCATGTAGGATACCCTGGTGGCATAGGACTCTAAATGTGGTTCCCATCTTCCCAGGATCTCTAGTCCAGACGCTGGTGCCCTCGGGTGGAAAAGCGGACCCCCTGTGTGAGGGCTGAGGCTCCCTGGAAGATGCCCTGGACAGAGAACTTGGGAGGCTTCACTACAGTTTTTTTCTGCCTTTCCTGTTGCAGCCATGAGCCCTACTCTGGTGCCCTTTACCATCAACCCCACCATCACCAACTTGCAGTTCATGCCAGGTATGGACCGTCCAGGATCCCTCAGGCTCAACATAATCAAGGCCATCTTGCAGCACCTGGTGAGAGCACAGAGGTGTTTGCGGCCCACTCCTCCTGTTTTCATAGCTGCTCAACCCTCTCACTCACCTCCCCTTCCATCCTCCCCAGCTTGGGCCTCTGATGAAGAACACCGGTATCAGCCCACTAGTCTCTGGCTGCAGGCTGACCTCGCTCAGGTAAGATGTCCAGGCATCGACCTTGTTCCCCACCTGACTGGTGGAGCAGCTCGGGGCACAGGGGATGCTGCACCCACTGAGCTTTCTTCCCAGGTTTTGTTCTCCCAGGCTGCTGTTCTACCTTTCTGTGATCCTCACCAAGATAGACATTACTCAGGAGTGAATGTCCGGAATTTCCCAAATCATTCTGTATTCTGCAAAATGATAAAAGCAACCATGAAGATGTTTTGCTTTAAAAAATTCTTAAATGATAGTGCCAGTGCTCAGTATTGATGCACTCAATATATAGGCGGGATTCTTGGGCTGCCTGACAGGTTTCTTATTTCCCTTGGCCGGGTCTGGAATGGTATGAGGCTAGTATCCTTAAATACAAAATACAAAATGTTTCAAAATCTGAACCTTCTTGATTTGTCATAATTCTGTCCAAAACAATTTCAAATATTAGAAGATATCAGATGTTTGGATTATGGATGTTTAAGCAGTACACATTATGCATATGCTCTAAATCAGAACACAGAAATTTGAAACATTTCTGTCCCCAGATATTACAAAGAAGAGTTTCTAACATTTTTGTGTGAACAGTGAATAAAATCCATGCCAATATGTGTCCAACTTCACCTTCTGCATCTACAGATCATTTATGTATTCTAGATTTGTTTCATTGATCATGTCTGCCTTTTAAGCAATCTAATTCAGTTTTGTGGCATTTCCCAAAATTTTGAGAAATTACCCTCCTGACCAGTCTTGCTTATGTCCCTATGCATGTGCCCCTCCCTAGGCTTGAGAAGGACAGAGCAGCCACCAGAGTGAACCTCCTCTGCACTCATTGCTCCAAGCCCACAGACTCTGGGGTGGACAGAGAGCAGCTCTGTAGGGAACTGAGCAGTGAGACTCACAAAGGGAACCGGCTTGGCCCCTACAGCCTGGACAGGAACAACCTTAATGTCAGTGATCGGCAGTCTGCAGCTGCATCATGGCTTCCCTATGGGTCTTGCTGCAACTGTATGCTCTGGGCTTCTCATAAACCAGAGCATACAATCCTCACCTCTGTCCTGGAGTTCAAAGACAGATGAGATCCTCAGAGAACAGGGAGGAGTAGGAAGATGGCAGAGGGATGAACTGCACATAGCCTGACACAGAAATTGCATCTTGTGTTCCACTCATATTTCTGGGGTTTCTCTACAGAGGCTTCATATAATTTTATTGCTGAGGATGGAACTTTGGTCCTCATATATGTGAGGCCAGGGTTCCTTCACTAAGGTCCATATCTTGCACCCTGGCTCTGCACTTTTGAGCCTTTGAGAAGACCTGTATATATTACTATAAAAATCCTATAGCTATCTGGACATGGTGGTGCCTGTCTATGTCTCCAGAATTCTGGGGGCAGAGTAGAGAAATCAATAGTTCTAGACCAAACTGGACATCTTAGTGACTTAGCAGGATCCTGTCACAAATTTAAAAATAAAGAAGAGATAGGGATGTAGCTCAGTGTGAAGGTACCGTAATCAATCTGTAGTACTGAAACACACACACACACACACACACACACATGAAAATAAACCATAGACAGATGCCTCTCACTCCATTTCCCATCCATCTAGAACTTACCCTTTCTTTCCCTCTCTTTCCCCAGGTTACACCCATCGCTTCCTCACCTCCACACACCACAGTGAGTAACTTGGTTCCGAGGATCACTGTGCTTTTGGACCTGTCTGCTCTTTCCCCTCACCCCTACCTCACATCCCCTGAGAAGGAGGAGTCCACTAAACCATAAAGCTGTGTCCACTTGTGAAAAACATTTGTGATGAATGTGATCTGGAAGACAGGAAGGAGAAAGGATGTCATAGGCATTATTTCCCAAGGAGAAGGATATCCAATATCAGGATGAGCAGTAAAAAATTTTTCTAAAATCCATGCCTCATTTTCTCAATTAATTATGTCAATAATGTTATAAAAGAATGGCTTTACACTTGACATGTTAATTCCTTACTAGGTGGTTTTACACATAAAATATTGAAGTCCCTCATCTGTAATGGCAGTTGAAGCTCCAGGCACAATTTGTTCAAGGTCTTGTTTCTGCCTTTCGGTATTCCCCCACTTTTTGCTCCCATAGCCTCATAAGCAGCCTGGATATTAGTGTTGGGAGACAGATTGTCCATCTCATCATAAGATTCAGCTTAGGATACAACAACGTGCTTTTGTTTCTATATAACTGCTATAAAAATCCCATGTGACTCATGCTGTTTTCATTTAATTTCTTCCCTTTTTTGGGAAAGGAAGATGTACTGTGCATTATCTCAGATGAGTAATATTTTATCTTGCAGTATTGGGTGAAAGTAATATCAACACAACAGGCCTTACAACTGGAGGTACTGGGAAGCACATTCTCAGCATCAG